CCATCTCAAAAAAAAAAAAAAAAAGAAAAGAGGTGATAATAAATTTCAAAAGAGCAGAGATTTTTTTTTTTTTCTTTATCTTTGGCCTTTTCAAGATGAGCTAAAAAAAAGAGCAGGGGTTTTTACATGAGAATAGAAAAATGTGATCTGGATCCCACTTTCCAACTCCCCGATAGTCATGGAGAAGAAAGTAAAAGAGGAGAAACTGGCAGGGTGTCTGTAATCCCAGCACTTTGGGAGGCAGAGGTAGGCAAATTGCTTGACCCTAGGAGTTTGAGACCAGTCTGGGCAATATTGTGAAACCCCGTATCTACTAAAAATAAAAAAATAGCCAGGAATGGTGATACACGGCTGTAGTCCCAGCTACTCAGGGGAGTGAGGCAAGAGGATCGCTTGAGCCTGGGAGGTCCAGGCTGCAGTGAGCCCTGACTGCACCACTGCACTACAGTCTGGGTTAGAGTGAGACCCTGTCTCAAAAAAAAGTAAGAGAAACTGTTTCCATGTATTAGATTGGTGCGAAAGTAAGTACGGTTTTTGTCTTTTTTTTTTTGGAGACGGAGTCTCATTTTGTTGTCCAGGCTGGAGTGGAGTGCAGTGGCGTAATCTTGGCTCACTGCAACATCCGAATCCCGGGTTCAAATAATTCTCCTGACTCATCCCCTCGAGTAGCTGGGAGTACAGCTGTGTGCATCCATGGTCGGCTAATTTTTGTATTTTTTAGTAGAGATGGGGTTTTGCCATATTGGCCAGGCTGGTCTTAAACTCCTGGCCTCAGGTGATCCACCCACTTTGGCCTTTCAAAGTGCCAGTATTACAGACGTGAGCCACCATGCCCGGCCTGGTTTTTGTCATTTTTAAAAGTAATGGCAAAAACTGCAATTACATTTGCACCAACCTAGAAGCAATACCTTTGAGTTACACATGTTGCTGGAATATAAAGAGACAATTTTTTGTTGTTTCTTTGTTTTGTTTTGAGATGGAGTCTCATTCTGCCTCCCAGGGTGGAGTGCAGTGGTTTGATCTCGGCTTACTACATCTGCCTTACGGGTTCAAGTGATTCTCCTGCCTCAGCCTCCTGAGTAGCTGGGACTACAGGTGTGCACCACCACGCCCAGCTAATTTTTGTATTTTAGTAGAGATGGGGTTTCACCATGTTGCCCAGGCTGCTCTCGAACTCCTGACCTCAAGTGATCCACCCACCTCAGCTTCCCAAAGTGCGGGAATTACAGGTGTGAGTCACTGAGCCCAGCCTAAAATTGTAATTTCAAATGGCACTACAATCATGTATCCTTAACCATAAAAAAGAAATTTATTGATATAGAAACTTTTAAAGCTAGAATTCAAAAATAGTTCTTGTCTATTTTCAGTTAATTAAAGCCTGGAATCAAAAATAAATTTGAGGCCAGGTGCAGTGGCTCACACCTGTAATCCCAGCACTCTGGGAGACTGAAGCAGGTAGATCAACTGAGGTCAGGAGTTCGAGACCAGCCTGGCCAACACGGTGAAACCTCATCTCTACTAAAAATACAAAAAATGAGCTGGGCACGGTGGCTCACCCCTGTAATCCCAGCACTATGGGAGGCCGAGGTGGGCGGATCACCCAAGGTCAGGAGTTCAAGACCAGCCTGACCAACATGGAGAAACCCTATTTCTACTAAAAATACAAAGTTAGCCAGGCATGGTGGTGCATGCCTGTAATCCCAGCTACTCAGGAGGCTGAGGCAGGAGAATTGCTTGACCCCAGGAGATGGAGGTTGCAGTGAGCCCAGATCACACCACTGCACTCCAGCCTGGATGACAGAGCAAGATTCTGTCTCAACAATAACAACAAAAGGAATAAATGAATCCTGGCCCTAATGCAGCACTCATGGATCCATTGAGGAGTCATGCCTTATCAAAAATCTTTGGTGTGGGTCTGAAGCGGCCATGACAACTCCCATCAGCCATTGTTTTACAGCTTACAAGTCACTTTCACAATCCCTACTTCATGTGATGCTCACAACACTCAGTTCAGCAGAACAGATATTATTTCCATGTTAAAGAAGAGGAGTTTGAGTTTTTTTTTTTTTTGAGATGGAGACTCGCTCTGTCGCCCAGGCTGCACTGCAGTGGCGCCATCTCGGCTCACTGTAAGCTCCGCCTCCTGGGTTCTTGCCATTCTCCTGCCTCAGCCTCCGGAGTAGCTGCGACTACAGGTACCCGCCACCAAGCCTGGAGAATTTTTTGTATTTTTAGTGGAGACAGGGTTTCACCATTTTAGCCAGGATGGCCTCGATCTCCTGACCTCGTGATCCACCCACCTCAGCCTCCCAAAGTGCTGGGATTACAGGCATGGGCCACTGTGCCTGGCCAGGAGTTTGAGTTTTCTAATGTTGCAGAGAAATAAATGAGAGCTGGTACTTGACCTAGGTGTTTCTGATTTCAACTCCAGTTCCCTCCCTACTCAAATCATGCCATCTCTTGTAATATTTGGCAACTAGTACTCAGTCTTTGTATTTGTGTAAAAACATCTTATTCAACAGATTGGTGTAAAACAGTTTCACCATTCACAACAGCAGATAGTTAATCTGAAAGGATTCAGTCCTTGGCACTATTACCAATAAAGATCTCTTTTTAAATAAACAGCATATCTTTTTTTTTTTTTTTTTTTGAGACGGAGTCTTGCTCTGTTGCCCAGGCTGGAGTACAGTGGCGTGATCTTGGCTCACTGCAACCTCTGCCTACTGGGTTCAAGCAATTCTCCCTGTCTCAGCCTCCCAAGTAGCTGGGATTACAGGCTCCTGCCATCAAGTCTGGCTAATTTTTGTATTTTTAGTAGAGATGGGGTTTCACCATGTTGGCCAGGCTGGTCTCGAACCCCTGGTCTCAAGTGATCCGCCCACCTCAGTCTCCCAAAGTGCTAGGATTATAGGTGTGAGCCACCACACTCAGCCAACAGCATGTCTTAAATCATCACTAGTTGTGTGTTAATTGTCCATTAACTAAATATAATTGTTTTGCTAGCTAACAGGTAAACGTGAAAAACATTACTCACCTGATTCTCATTTTCTTTTCTTGCCTCATGTTTAACGTGGCCTTTCAAGGCTTTTAACAACTTGTCTGCCTGTAAGAGAGACCTTATTATTAGAGTCAAAAATCAAATAAACAAGGAAGATACGTTGAACATTTTTTGCTGTTCTTGTATTCATTAAATGTACTCTGGTCAGACCATAGGACTAGAACTTAGAAAGAATGGGTCTCTGCTAGATTAGACTTCAGCAAGTGTCTGCACAGGGCAGTTCTCAGATAAAAGATGTGATGTGTCTAATTGCTGAGATCTGAAGGATGAAAGGGAGAGCTGGACATAGAGAAACAGGTAGAGGAATGGCACAGCAAGGCAACAGTGAGGGTGTTTACAGAACTTAAGTTCAGTGTGGTTGGAGCATGGAGCTGGTGTGGGAGATAGTAGGAGACAATGTTGGGAAAGTGAGCAGGGCCCTGATGTTACCCGGCCTTACAAGCCTTTAAAGAGTATGAATTTTACCCTCCGAGAAAAGGGCAATCTCTGAAGAGTTTGCAGCAAGGCAGTGGGTAACCAATTTTGCATTACTCAGAATAATTACTCTACCTGAACAATGTGCAAGATGCATTTGATGGGGATGAGCCAGAGATGCTGTGGCCTGAACTAGAGTGGGGCTAAGGCAGTATGGATGAAGTCAAAACCTTCTTAGGAAGTGAAATCAGTGTGAACATGAGTTGAGGAGGAGGGAAACTTCGTTATGCCGAGGTTTCTGGCTTGGACAGCTGGTGAAGTGTGGTGTGGTCCCTAAGATGAGGAATGCCAAAGGTGACCGGGTCTTAGGGGGATGGTTATAGGTCTCTGTGGGGGGAAGGGAACACGGAGCTTCTCTTCCCAGCCTAGGAAAACTTCCCTTCTTGTTCTTTCCTGAAAGGAGAATGTTAATTTGATTGGTTACATTTTCCTGTGCCTTAAAAGTCAAGTTTGGTTGAGCGCAGTGGCTCATGCCTGTAATTCCAGCACTTTGGGAGGCTGAGGCAGGTGGATCATGAGGTCAGGGGTTTTAACCCCGCCTGGCCAACATGGGGAAACCCCATCCTAATAAAAATACAAAAATTAGCTGGGCATTGGTGGCGTGCACCTGTAGTCCCAGCTACTTGGGAGGCCAAGGCAGGAGAATTGCTTGAACCCAGGAGGCGAAGATTGCAGTGAGCTGAGGAGATCACGCCACTGCACTCTAGTCTGGGCGACAGAGCAAGACTCCATTTAAAAAAAAAAAAAAAAAAGTCAGGTATTTTGGCTGGGTTCTCTTTTTCTTCCTCTTCTACCCAGCCATGCAGTTGAGGGCCAGAGCCATCCTTCTCAAGGTGGGCCCAGTCACCAGGCTTGGCTCTATTCTTCTCAGGCCTTTTATCATGGGCCATGTGTCCAGTAAAGAATGGCAGAGATCTTGAAATTTGATTTGTACTCAAGCTTTTGCTTGTGGTGCAAGCCTGAGCCACATTCTCCAATCCACTTTACCAGAATGCTCTGCATCAAGACATCGGGCACCATTTCAGCTAGTAATAAAGTGGTACCTTATTTTCTACTTGTTTTTCTCTGGGAAGGGGATGATCGGCAGGGCAGAATTCAGGCATTCTTGATTTTTCTAATACCTTCTTAATATACCTTCAAAATTTCACCAAACGTACAAAAATGCATGAAGCGAGGCACCTGCGGCAGAACCCAGTGAGGAGGGTGAATGATATGAGGTGGTGTTCAAGAGTTGTGCTAAAGGTGCAGATGTTAGTTATCAGCATATATTCGTGCATTCCTTCAACAAGCATTTATTGTGCTGGGCCCTGTTCCAGACACTAGAGAGTGATGAATTAAACAGACAAGGTAATTGCCCTCCAGGATCTTCTAGCAGTGGTGAAACAGTCTGTTACTCAAGAAAGCTAGAAATGAATGATATGACATCAGGTATTATGATGCAAAAATAAAACTGGGCAACTGGGGTGGGGTGGGGATGCTACCTGAATTAGGATGGTTGGGAAAGGCCTCTCTGAGGTGGTGGCTTGAACTGAGATGTGAATGAGGAAAGAGGCAGGAGGTGAAGAGCACTCTAAGCAGAGTGAGCACCAAGAACAGGAGCCCTGAGATGGACCCATGAGTTGAAAGACAGAAATTGCTCTTATGGTAGAAGCATGGTGAACAGAGGTGTGTGGAGGGCAGGGAGATCAGAGAGGTGACCAGAGGCTGGGTCAAGTAGAGAGGTAAAGGCCACAGCAAAAATTATGAATTTCGGCCGGGTACAGTGACTCATGCCTATAATCCCAGCACTTTGGGAGGCTGAGGCGGGTAGATCACCCAAGGTTAGGAGTTCAAGACCAGCCTGGCCAACAGGGTGAAACCCTGTCTCTGCAAAAAATATAAAAATAGCTGGGCATGGTGGCAGGCACCTGTAGTCTGAGCTACTCAGGAGGCTGAGGCGGAAGAATCCTTTGAACCCTGGAGGTGGAGGTTTCAGTGAGCCAGGATTGCACCACTATGCTCCAGCCTAGGTGACAAGAGCGAAATTCCTGTCTCAAAAAAAAAAAAAATCAATTCCACTAACTTGTTATTAGAAAAAAAAGTCAGGCCTATAGAAAAGTCAAAGTAGGCTGCGTGCGGTGGCTCATGCCTGTAATCCCAGCACTTTGGGAGGCTGAGGCAGTCAGATCACCTGAGTTCAGGAGTTCCAGACCAGCCTGAACAATATGAAGAAACCCTGTCTCTACTAAAAATACAAAATTAGCTGGGCGTGGTGATGCATGCCTGTAATCCCAGCTACTTAGGAGGCTGAGGCAGGAGAATTGCTTGAACCCAGGAGGCGGAGGTTGCACGGTGAGCTGAGATCACGCCACTGAGCAAAACTGTCTCAAAAAAAAAAAAAAAAAAGTCGAAGTAGTGTAATAAACACTCATATTTCCCACCAAGATTCAACAATCATTTGCATTGTCTCATATTTGGTTTCTCTATATTAACATATATTTCTTGTGAAAGAATTTGAAA